CTTCGCAGCGACAAATTACTACTGGCGACAACATAAAAAAATAAAGCAAGTAGCCTCCACAAAAATGTACAAGGCATATAATTATCGCGTGTTGAAAATTCCTCCCTGTTATAAATTAGATGTTACTTTGTCTGTCTGTTATGCTTTCACTAAAAATATCGAAGATAGTGAAAATGTTTATGAATAAATAGAAATATCGATAGTTTGCTGTACTGCATGGAAAAAATCAACGCTGTCTGAGGTCAGATGCGTTCACATGCAGCTATTGATAGCGGGTAATCCAAAACACAGCGCGTAGATACCAAGAACAATCGGCCATTGAGCGGACAATATTTTCACAGCGGGTGAACCAATGGCGAGCCGTTTGTATTTAGTAACAACGTGCCAATCAAAACTGTACCTGAGAATAGAATAAATATGAATTTTGAAACTACTGACGGAACTTTCGAATGTTCAATGAATCTTGAGATGGTTTTAATTTTAGGGGAACAATCTTGGCCCATTTTAACTGTACATATATGTGTACATATATAAACAAAAGAAAAATATATTCGGCTACTTTGATTTATATTGCAAATTGTGAAACGCATTTGCAGAAGAAAATAGTTATATATCCCTACAACTTGTCATAATTTGAATAGAATGAAGATAGATGCAAACTTACATTGACGGTTTCTTACCATGAACAGAGAGTATCGTATGTTTAATGTCGAATTAATATGCATGTTCGATACACCCATGTAATTCGTGCAGATCACTTCGATGGTAATATAAGCTTTAAAGTTTTCCAATACGTCGTAAATGTTGCCGACATCCTTAACTCAGGATATAAGTTTACGATACGCTAAGCACTTTTCGGATGTGGTTTTTGTATAACGAGTTCTGTTACCGCTTTACTTTTTAATTTGTTTATATTACTAGTTTAAGAAGAACTATCTTGATTTCTTGATTTCAAAGATGTTCAAAGTCTATTAGTTCGACATTTTACATGAAGATTCTTTTTGAAGTAGTATGTTATTAGTTTCTTGTTATGTTGTCTCGATCCTCATTTGCCATTTAACCAAAATTAGGCCCTATTAGTGCTAATTAAATAAGGTAACTTCTTTGTAAGTTACGTAACTGTCTGTTAAAAGATAATATATTTATCGAAATTTCCGGTCATGAGATGGGTGACTTAATAATTTTATGTCGAGCTCCTCTCTGCTTCAGAAGGCACTTTAAGCTGTTGGTCCCGCCTGCATGTGCAGTCGTTAATACCTTCCAATCCGCTATGGGTGTGCGTGGTGGGTCATAGCCCAATCTCCCTATACGATTCAATCCTTAAGGAAAGCCTGAGTCTCAGCAGTGGAGAATTAATAGGCTGGTGATGTGATGAACTTGTCTCCATAAAAGTGGTGCTCAGTGTTGTAAGTGTACAAGAGAAATTGTGTCCGTAAAAACATTGTTTATATTGTCCTCATTGTGATTCTATCAAGCGTCAAATTGCAACACTTCGCTCACGATTCGCGGTCCTTATCAACGTATAAAATCTCAATGTGCCATGGCTTAATTGGTCTAACACGTGTGTTGACTTGACTAGCTGCTGAGCTGCGATAGTGGAGCGTTGAACTCGCTCACAGGTGGAATACGTCCATCCGTAGCTGTTCGTGTTTATATTTCATTACTTTGTTCGTACTTAATCTTTAATAAATATTGAAGTTTTGTTTATGGTCAATCATTTTGATTTTCTATCGTTATTATTTTGTATTAATTCTTGACCCTTCCCCACTTTACACGACTCCAAGTTACATGTCATTACAACGTCTTCAATCAATAATTACTATAACTGAAATTTGAGTTATGTTTTCTCGGTAATTTTTAAATTTATTAGTTCATAATCAACAGACTCGTTGGGGTGAGTTTTGTTAAATAAAGTCTGTTTTGGGTCGTCGGGCTTTTTCCTTTTGTTTTGTTTAATACAGTGTTTTCATATTGAAAACGAGCAGTGATTATACCCTCATAATTGTATATCAGGTAATGCGTGTTGTCACGCTATATGTCATTTAGCTAATGTAGCGGATGTTCGACAACAGTTGTATAGCTGTCGAAATTTGCGGATTTCTTGCTATCTTATGCCTATCTTTTTATTTATCCCCGAAGAGAAACGAAACAGATGGGTGTTATAATTTCACCCCTTTGTCTGTCTGCGTGCGGCATCGCAGCTTCCGAACGTGCTGTTTTTTATTCGAAAGATAATTTAATCACGTTGGTTCTTAGCTATGGCTGGTCAAAATCCGTGCGGCCGATGAAGCTCACCGCCTGTTTTCCTTACTCGAGTTAAGGTTTATTGCAATATAATTTGGCATTTGTTTAGTATTCCGTGATAATTTGGTATACATGTGTCAACTCGAAGATCAAACAATAATATGGAAATTCTAACTTTCGGGGCTTCTGATCAAGAAACCGCAACAAATAGTTTTAGGCAGTTCTCACGTGATGTTAACCTGACACTGCCTAAAGAATTCTGAAGAGACTTAAACAGGTGGAAATCTGAAGGTTCTAGGTCAGGACTATACGGCGGATGCATTAACATCTCCCAGCCAAACTCTTAATTTTTGCTGACACACCCCTTCTATTGATTAGTTCTGACCGCTTTCTCTCAACTTCTTGCTTTAATCTCATCAGTTGTTCCCAGTAGAGTTCAGAATCGATGATCTTGCCTGGTGGTAACCAGGGGTCGGAAACCGGTATATTTTTCGAAACGTTTTCATCTTAAATACCTAAAAAACACTTTTTTTCGGTTTCGTTCGAACAGAACGATATAAAAAACGATTTTGGAAAAAAACAATTATATTGTTTTCGGTTAATAAAACGTTTTTATTTTGCGTTTTTTTTGCATCGCATACTGTAAATAACGTAATAAAATAAATGTACGCCGCCCTTACAGCCCGCGCGGCACCGTCTTGCGGATTAAACCGGTTTTTTAAAGCGTTCTCATTTCGTTTTCGTTTCGAACGCAATCTTGCCCAAAGAACTATAAGAAACGTTTTAAAAACGTTATTTTGAATAACGTTTCCGAGCCCTGGTGGTAACAGCTCATAATGAATAATGTCCTTCCAATCCTACCACACACACATAGCATCACCTTGTTGCGAGTTAGTCCGGGTTTCGCCACAGTCTGTAAAGCCTGACCGACCTTTAACCACGACCGTTTTCGCACGTTCTTGTACGTGATCCACTTATCACCAGTGATCAGCATCTTCAAAAATTGTTCAGTTTTATTACGCCGTAATAAATTATCACAAATGAGTACTCGGTTCATTAGATTTCTTTTAGTGAGCTTGTGAGGTACCCAAATGATCGTATGGGTAACTTTACGATACACAGTATGGCTCAAATTTTGATTAGGATACCTAATGAGTAATGTATCTAAGAAGGTTAGTTTATTGTCTACCTCTAATTCCATAGTAATTTGTATCTAAGGGTTTATAGAATTAAGATGTTTTAAGAAAGCGGAAACATTATTCGTTGGTGAAATAGTAATGGTGTCATCTACGTACCGTTAATACAGTCTGGGTTGGATAGGTGCTGTGTGTAGGGCCATTACCTCAAAGTGCTCCAATGAAAATATCGGCGACTATGGGTGATACAGGAGAGCACATCGTCACACCATCTACTTGTAAATAGAATTCATCATTACACAGGAGGTAGCCCGATGTAAGCCAATGTTCTAGTAATTCTGCATATTCAATTGGCATAGATTGTTGAACCAACCTTCTTCTAGTAATACCAATGTAGTCATGTACTGGTAGACATGTAACTAAGGACTGGACATCAAAACTGACCATAGTTTCATTATCTGGGAAATGAAGATCTAATCCCACAGATGAAGCTGTATGAATCCTTCACAAAATCTTTAGTGTTACCTCGAAGTGGCGAGAGTATCTTAGCTACGTGCCGAGGCAATGTGTAGGTTGGTGAGTCGATTTGGCTAACAATCGGTTGCCGTATTGAGTTTGTGTATTTTCGGTAACCCATATAGCTTTGGTGGTTTGGGACAGGCAGGTAAAAAATGCTAGACGAAATCACACACTTTCCTAATTTGAATTCGGAATTATCTTCTTTAAAATTTGAACTAACCAGCCAGATACAAATGGTATAGCCAGATACAAATGGCATATTATTACAAGTTCTTGCATATTATATGCTAAAAGACTTTCCCCAACCTAACGTTAAGCACCCTAGTCGTGTTTGAGTTCATTTTAAACAGAACAACAGAACTAGTTTTCAAGTTTATTACAAAGCTCAGTTAATTTGGTTAGTTAGTATTATTTCTACTAATTTATTTTATATTATTAGATGCATTGCCATTAACCCAATAATATGAATCATTTCATATTAACCATAATTTACATGTAATACTAAAGGAAAATTCGACTATATTGTATTTCTATATTTATCATTGAGCCTTTGTTATGGAATCCGTATCAGCAAACTTGCGGTGCGAAATGCCAATATATTATATTAAATTAATATAAATATGTTTTAATTAAATCATTCTACTTTATACCATCAATGTGGGTGAACGTATACACCATACGTGTATTATTGACCACCAGCACAAAACTGTGACAATTTATTATCTTATAAACAGAAATCATTTGTAAGTGGTATGTTATACTATTATAATGGACAAATTGCATTTTCTTTACTACAAGATAAAACTATAAACGAATAAACAACTTTGATAAGGGAAATGAATCGCATGCGTTTTACTACTAGAAAATAGGGTTCTACTGTGATTGAACTATTTGATGGCCACATAAATCTAGAATTACCTTTACAATCTACCATCCATTAAAATTTCTCCTTTATGTTGTTTCTATTTAATAGGTGTTTATTCAATCGTTTGAAACGATCTCAATATGTCAGTTATAATACAACGTATGTTTAAATATGAGTTTGTTTTCTTTTATTGTTACAGTGACATAGTTTATAAATAAACGTTTCTTTTGTTCCAGATAAAAAGAAAATCTCGACAATAATCTCAACATTCCCGAACAATTAATAGAAGACTGATTTTTCCATTAGGCATTAAGACGTACTTCTACTATGAATTTGTGAGCAGACTTGAAGAGACACAAACATGTTTAAGCTACTCGGAGGGTTGAGTGTGTACTTTAAATATCAGCCTATTAGGACTGACAATGCTGTATTCAGACTGCACAACGTGTTCACAACGGTGGTGCTCCTCACGTGTTCCATAATCATAACCGCCACACAGTATGTTGGCCAACCTATCCAGTGTATCGTCAGTGGGTTGCCTGTAAATGTGGTGAATACATTTTGTTGGATCACATCTACGTTTACTATGCCAGATGCGTTCGCTAGAGAGGTGAGTGTATTGCACTTTGCTTTGTTGTGTAAGTAAGTAGATACAGCTGTCAACTGCGATTTGCTATTGTGTAGTTTACCGTATGTAAATACTCGTACGCTTGGACTGTTCTATATTTAAATAACATCCTAAATCGCGATGGTAGAGTCTCGTTTTCTGGTAGATAAATTGATGCAAGTACAAAGTTTGAATTGGATGATTATTAATGATTACGCTATGATTAGCAAGTCTAGTATTAGCATGATGAAGAATAATCGATGTCGTACTTCTCTTAAATTGTCCCTAATTGCCCAATCAAGGTAACATTAATGACTAATGTGGCTATTTGTGATAGTATTATTTTGACTGATAAGATATTTTCTTACTTGGATTTATAAAAAACAATAGTAAAATTACTAATTGTATCATTTCCTCTCATATTTTTAATAAGTATTTTTCAAAAGAAAAATTAATAGACACGTGGGCTATTTGGCAGCAAACAGGTGTTAGCTATTGAGTTCTCATTCTGTATGTAATTTATAAAACCTTTTGTAATGTATTCTAATGTATGTAAAGCATAGTGTTAACACTAGTTTGGCGACTGTCCAATTCTTAGAAATTAATTGCCATTATAATAGGAATAGAACTTTCAATTTCTTTGTGATTATTGTACCGACATATGAAGCTGTAACCTTTTCATTTTCTGTTACCAAGTTCCTTTACAAAACAAGAGTGGCAGGCTTTATGCTGCTCGCACATGCTCGCATATCTGTCGGAGCCGAAAGAGGTGGTCCAATCGGATTTTTTTTAAATTCTTGCAAACGAATGACAGGTGACATTAGAAATATGACGAATCAGCGCGTTGATTTGTGCGATGGTTCATACAATACTTCTGATATTTCTTTTTTTCGCCTTTTTCGGCGCTTTTAAGATACAGGGTATTGGGAAACACCAAATTATAAAAAAAAATATTGTCATATATTTTACGTTCCTTCCTAATAGTTGTACCTATTCCTATTTAAAAATATAAACAAGAAGATTTAAAAATAGATTGGCAAATCGCAGCTCGATTTGGGTAGCGTGTCAATAATTTAGATGAACAGCTACTTGCCTAAATTATAGTCTATTGTGATACTGGTCGGCACTTGTGGGTCAGACGTCGATATGTTATTTGGCGTTCAATTAGTTTGCGACTTAATGAGTGTTTGTATACATTTTATTGCTGGTTAATTTACCTTTGGAACATACATTATCGTCGTTTACGACACGTTGCGTAACCGAAGTGACAAATTAATTGTCTTTTTATTTAGCGAAGGTTTCTAGTTGTAGATATTAGTTACTCAACACTTTATTGTATAACTTTAGACTCTTGCTGGTAACATATTTTTGATAGATAGAATTTTACCTTAAATTATACTAATTCAAATCAAATCATTTATTGGCCATATAACTCAGAAAGTTTCACTCTGCAAGTCTTTTACAATAAACATTTATGTGTAAGCTAAAAGGTCTAAATCATGGAAGTCAAATCATTGTAGGAATGTCAAAGAAATTAAGTATTTTAACAATGTCAAGTTGGTTATTTTTACAATTCTTAATAATCAATTATACAAAATAAATTACTCCATTATAAATGAAATTATAATATATATACCTATTATTACAAATTACACATATAAACATATAAACAAACATATAGGTAATAATTAAGAAATTGAGGGCTTTCATTTTACATAATACTCACATCTATGTATTTACGTACTTACGCATACTTTATAATACAATTGACTAGAAAAGGATAAAGAAATAATAGATAATACAGACTTTCAAATATAAGGATTATGCTCAGAGATTTATCTATTATTGTGGTAATAATGTAATTATCCTTGATTTCTTTTTTTTCCGGTTGTTCAGTATTATTTTCAGTATACTTTTCAGACTCGTCATTACGAGGAAATAATTTTCGAAATTAATATAATTATAATTGACATTGGCGTTATGATAAGTAGGACCAACTTTTCTCAACCAACTTGGTTATTGACGGGACGACCTCCGCATCAGAGTGGTTCGCATGCTGGTTTCAAGGTGTCCCAAAGGATTCTCGGTCGGGTCATTGTAGAAAATGGATTTTTCTATATTGTCTCGGGTCTGGGTGTCGTGTTACCTTTGTTATCTTAGGTACTTGATAATACGGGGGCTTTAGCTACTCAACTTGGAATCTGCAGGGCGATTCTGTAAAAATTCGAACCCGAATTCGAATTCACGTCATTTAGTGAAAAATTCTATTGATTCCATTTTTTGTATATAATTCCTGCAATGTAATAAATTTGTTTTATAATAACATCCTTATTATAAAACAGCTTTATTATGTTGCAGGATTTTTTATTGATAGAGGATAGACTTTTAAAAAGTTTTTTATTGTAAACTTGGCTCGTACCTACTCCTCAGATACCTTTCTGTTTTCCTTATAACCTAATTTATAAGAACTATCGATATTAGTTGAAATATGCATGATGCCCATTTGATAGAAGAGAATGCTGTTAATGTCTATAAACGAAATTTGCAAGACCATGAAATATTTTATTACAAAACGCGACGCGTAGACATATACTTACTGAGGAGACCGACAGAATGCATCCGCAAACGGATTAACTATGAAATGGCTTGATTAATTTGATTTTTTATTATTAGAGATCAAAGATTTCTAATTCATATAGGTACCCTATTCTGAAATATATTTTTGGGTCTTTCAACCACATAAAAGGTTTTCCTTCTCAATTTCCTGATCATGGCTAATTGTTAAGCAAAAACAAATATTTGCATAAATTAACATAAACAACGTTATTATTAATTTGTGTTATGTATTTAAAATGAATAATCACACTGATATCGAATGCACAATACTGTACACATGACCCAATTAACGGTGTAAAATAAAATATGTGACTAACCTGTCACTATTTCTTCTCGTCTTTCCTTTACTTCTCACTTTGTGTTTGGACTTTTTTGTTTTAAGACCGTTCTCTTTTTTCGTCTACAATTAAATTTTCTTTTTTTTTTAATTAATCCAATTTTGTTCAACTACTCTGAACTCAAAATGATGGAACCAGGATATATATACTACCTAACCTTTAGCCTTCGTTCCTATTTATTGTTTAAAATGATAATTAGCTACGCTTTTCTATTAAAAAGAGTTCGACTTCGAGCGCAGCAGTTTAGAGCTTCAATAGATTATCTTTTCAAATTGGTTTCATTGATAAACTCTATGCTCTATGACAGTGCCGCGCTCGAGTTTGATTTCGAAGCAAATACTACTATGTATACTTAAGACATATTCTTTAGTATTTCGTTGTCTCATTGATGCCCATACAACATCAACGTGATAACACGTACAATTATTTTGACGCAATCTTTGGAAATCCGTCGGGGATTGTAAAATAGTTCGCTGTTTGCGTCACAATGCTCGATCTGCGACCGGCCGCTCGGTCGTAACTCGTAACCCTCCGTCTTATTGAAGCCGCTGTACTTCTGAATAACCGCTGACTTCCTTTCGTGGGTAATGCGTAGTTTAATTGATACAGGATCTCGAGTTTATGACTCAGTAGGATATAATTATTTGAGCCATTCATGAATATGGAATTGAGGAATTATGACGTCACTGATTTCGTTAACTCGCGAAATAAATAGTGTAGGTTTGTAGAAAGAAACACCTTGGAAATACGCCGAATAAACTCTTGTTTCACTATATAATATACAGCCTCTACTTTTACAAACATGGAGATTTACTTTTCGAATATCACATTACTCTTCTCTGAACTCTAAAACGTATTGCATTTATCCTACTGTATTCAAATGTATCGAATATATTATTATCTGTTTGTAAGCTAATCATATTTACATGTTTTCTCTTTCAACACCTTCATACAACAAGTAAAATATCACTGGTTTGAATAAATGCATGAACTATACATTTTTTTATGTTATGTTCAAAGTACGCTTAAAAGTGTTGTTGTTTCTCGAATTAAATACAGAACTGTTTACTGATTCTAGAGGATTGTGATTTCACAATATGGAATCATAAGTATTGTTTGACAGTGTCGGGGTCTATTCTAGAACACATTATTTATTCGAAAAAGTTTCGGAGCGAACAAAATCGCTGTCACGACGTTCGTTTGATTAAATTTTGAAATATATTTATTTCTCTCCGTTAAGAATTCGTTTAAAAAGATCGACGTTAACGTTATTTTCGTTTTATTGTCTTAAGTTTGTTATACTTAGAAAAATTTGCTCAAATAAAAGTAGTCCGCAAATTCATAGGGAACATTTTTCCCGGGGTCACATGACCCCAGCCGTGAGTCTAGGCTGGGTCCAGCACACCCTGCCCTGACCTTATCACCCGCACAGGTATGTGGTCGACCCCCTGTTTTCCGTTTCGTTTCAGTGTTCATTGCCTATAAAATTTTCCATACATCGAGGAATCTATTACCGTTTTTATCAAGACCTTACGATAATGCTGAATATAAATCGTAAATAGGAATGTAAAATAGATACGAAAATAGAAATATATGGAAAATAGGGACGTGATAATACGCAATAGAATATGATTATCATGTATAAATTTTAGTATTGTGAATTCATTGTTTATTTATTATATATTATAATTATTATATTCTTTATATATTATTACCGTCTCGCCCTGGCTTCTTTTTCGAAATCCTGAACAATATTTTATGTATAGTATTGAAATATTAATCACACGAATCATATACATTTATTAGCTGTACAATGAAGTTGTTAAATGCTTTTATAGAAACCCGAAACAAAGAAGGTGCCGTATCAGACACGAGACAATATAGAAAAGTAAAGGTTATAGATTTTATTATAAATGTTATGCCCATAGTATTTGATAAAATCAAAGTACCTACCTATTCTATATTTGAAACTAATATTTTTATAAACGCTAAAAAAGATTATGATCTACCTAAATTGACATTCTAAAGTCTATACGTGTAGTATTTCTACAAACTACCAGTATGTTTAAAATTAAAACAATCGTTTGTTTCAGTTGAGAAACTTTAAATAAGGAGCGCTATGAAAATGTTACAAAAACATCCTGTATAATATTACACTGCGTATTAAAAAATATTATTTTCTACTTTGACGTTATTATGGATAAGAGAACCTCATTTTGTACGATACAAATGTAATTTTTTTTAACTACTTTGTCAAAAGAGCGATTTGACATTGGGATTACATTTTACATAGTTATTTGCTACTTCAGTGTTAATTCTTCTACAGTGTTATTAATAAACAATGTTAAGCGTTGGAGTAAATGAAGCTGAGACTGCACTTAGTATCAGTCAAAATTCATTAGGCTTTACGGGAGTAATATTTACTAGTAGTAGTAGTAGGTTCGCTTATTCTCTGTATAGTATGAATTTGGACCAATACTAAAATTGCAAATTCAGCGCAAATTTACTGTGACTTAATAGCACTACTATAGAATTTATTGGTAGTTTTAGAACATCACACTACCTTTTATTTTAAAGTGTGTCTGCAATTATGTAATTAAATAGGTCGCTAGAATTTAAAAAATACTAAGAAAATAATTGAACTAACTGATCAAATATCAATTTATTCTTGATTTTGTCTACGTGTGTATACGACTTCTATCGTCGTAAAGAAATATAGTTATCATAAAGTTTTTTTTATGTCGCATTAATAAAATAAAACTGTTAACTGATGGGTGATATATATTATGCACATGTTTTATTACAAATTTATTGTCATTTACAGGTTGGCAGAGAGGTAGCGCATCCAGGCATAGCAAATGAGTATGACAGTGGAAACGAGAAAAAATATTACACATACTATCAGTGGGTGTGTTTCGTGCTGTTCTTTCAGGTAATAATATATCAAATTTATATTAAAAACAATATGCATGGAAAACGTTTTTCAGATACAAGTTGCATATAAGTCACAATTTGGAGTGTAAAGCTGGAACTCCTTAATTGTAACTGTAAATAATACATTAAAAGAACGTGTTTTTATATTGCCATTTATGAAAATAATGAAATATTGCCAACCAGCATCAATCTTTATGGACTAAAGATAAAATAAAAAAATCAAAATTATTTATTCAGTCTAGGCTGTTCCAAGCACTTGTGAAAGTCGAGAGCTACGCCATCGGTTCGTAAATCTATGGCGGGAGACCTTGTACCGAGAAGAACCGACAAGAAACTCGGCAAGGGCTGCTGTTTTCTCCCTGTTTTATTTCATATAGAGCGTCAAGATCAATATAACAAAACATCTGTTCTTGTGTGTTTTTTCAAATTAAAAATAAGTGTAAAAACAGTCCTGTTCAAAGGCCTCGTAGACTTGCATTATTACTCAGATTGTCGCCTACATAACAACGTAATCGCCGACCTGCAAACAATGCAACCACGAGAGTGCCAGTATCAGCACTATTTAGAGTTAACGGTATGGCCAGACGGTGTTAAGTGCTTACTTGTTCGTGACGTAGTTTACCGTAGCGCCGAATCCTTGGAGTGATCCATTGACACCATGCACGGACACGTTTCACGGTCATGGCTCTTTATTTGGGTATTCAGGTGACTCTAAGCGTTTACCCCAGAATACATACGGTGTATCGGTAACGGTTGTATCCGTTACAGCTTTATTAATACTAAGAAACCATTTTTATGGTAATGATTCATTGATTTCGATTATGCGTGTTTTGTTTTCCCATGAGGTCATAAGTTCAGTGTTCTAATAATTAACTAAAATTTGCATAAGCAGATCAGCTATTATTGGAAGAATTTGTTTCAATCGATGATACTATATTTATTTTAATTTTACGACTACTTTTAAGTTTGTTTTAGGGTACAGGAAAATATGTTAAATTGTTGAATAAGTATGCTTAATCACGAGTCTAAGAAGAAACGTGATTCACTTACACAGTCAAAAATCTGTAGTTACAATTAAATTTATTGTTTGTAACTTGCCTGCAGGCAATAATGTGCTACACTCCCAAGTTTCTATGGGACACCTTCGAAGGTGGTCTTTTACGCACGATCGTAATGGGGCTCAACGTCGGGGTATGCCATCCTGAAGAGAAAGAAAAGAAGAAGGAAGTGCTCATCGGATATCTCCTGAGGCACGAAAAGGTAAGATTTATAGTATCATATTTACCTTTATTAAATTGATGTTACACAAAACAACTGGGCATTTTAAACGTGTTTTGAAAGTAATTAAATGCCTCTAAACAGATTTGTTTACATGTTAATGTTGTAGCATGAATTACAGTTATTAATATTCAGTTTTGGATTCATTATGATCAAGATGTCTTTAAAAAACTCATTTCAAATCTTAATCTCAGATTACAAGCCAATTTTTCTTATTGGCCTCCAAATGTAGAATCCATTCAATGAAAGAGTATCCCTATGTTCATTTCGGCGTCTGGTTTTCATCGAGTAGATTGAATAAAATAACCCTCTTGTTCCATCATCATTACCGAAACGCGCACGGTCTTCATATCGAGGGTCACATTGTTAATATTCACATCCCACAAATCGTCGCTACTGGGAATCGTTCCCAGCGCGTCGTTCGTGCTTTGTATGGCTAATGCAGCTGGATTCATTGTCGGCCATTCCTGTGTAGCCTGCGCGTGAGTTGCGTGTCGTGCGGTTTGGGGAATGTGGCGATGTCATTTAATTCGTGGTTTATGTTGAAAAATTTCTTCGTGACTTGATTAGTTGACAAGTTGAGCGTGATCGTAACACTGCTTTGAGTTTTATTACATTGTTAGATTTCATCGATTTAGTTGGTAAATGATGTATTGTCAATTTAAACCAAGTCGCTAGTATAATATTTTTGTCCAACTATTACACTATACAAATAAGATTTTGCGAAATTTGAACAGTCGCCATGATACTGTTACTCTCCGTCATGGTGATATTTTACATACTCTTGGGAGTTTAATGAACTGTGATATTTGAATAGACACCGCTATTAGACACACAATGGTAATAATATTATATCAAACCTGCCATCATTATGAGGCATGATAGCGTCTGGTTACTAAGCTTCTATAGCTACATGTGGAAGGTTTCCCTCTGCGTCAGTTACATTAATTGTTTTATAGGGGTTATCAGTAGCGCAATTTTATTTATAAATGCGACGAAGGCGAGACGTGATTAAGTTTATATACATTAATATATGTGTCTGTTATTACCAGAGGTCGGAATTAGGTAGAGTCATTTATGTACTTGCATCGAAATGTTGATATTAATGTGGACCTTCCCGGGATTTCTAATGGACAATCCCGTGTGACCAACAATCTTACAACTAAATAATAATAACAACGTCAGAGATAGACAAATAAAACAAAGATAATTAACATAAATTTTCTATTAGTTTACATTAATTTACAATATAAATTATTGATAGTCTTAAGCAAATTCTCATACGCATATTTCGCCTTTAAAACATAAAATAAAATAAAAATTAATCTCGGGATTTGAGGCATATCCACTTCAATCTTTCGCTATATGAAATCAGTGTAAGTACATGAATAACTCTACCTAATTCCGACCTCTGGTTATTACCCATTGCTTAATATTCTCTGAAGTTGCTTAAGAATTTTACCTGGTAACATAAAACACTAAATGACCGTGCTAATTTTTCTTAATAATAATTTGGTTTTGCCATTAGAATTCTAAAGAACTAAGTCGTCTGCTTGTTTCTCGGTTGGCATTTGTCAGCCTTTGCGTGAATGTTAAATACTGTTTACTTAAACACAGTGAAGCTTCATCTTCACACAATTGTATTCATTATACTGTATGAATATGTCATTATCCAACTTACCGACTAACTATACCGAGATAACCTCTGTATCAAGGTATTTTGCATAATTTACTTGACGAATGAACGTTTCATTTGTCTATCTATCATATGTTCTTGTAACGTATTTAATCAGTATTATACTCTTTCGTGTTAATGTTGTAAGCGTTACCTCGATATCGGTTGTAAAAGTGCACTGACAATAAAAAGACTCCTCTTTCACTCTCATCAAAAAGCTCTCACGTAATTATAATTTATCTACTTTATTATTACTTATATGAATTCTTTCCTTTACCGTCAATTAGTATTTTATTACTGATGATGTTAAAACCATTCATTAGCATATTGTGAGTGCTGTGGCATCCAGGGCTAAATGGATTTTTGTTTATTACCATTACAACTTTCTTTAAGTGTATAAGGAACTAGGAAATTATTATAAGACTTGACAGTAGGATCGATTGGAAAACGGGCACAAGCAATTTTTTGTCTACGGTCAATGCCCATAGTTCGTTGCTCGATTGCGCAAGATCTGACTTCACTTGCATCGGTTGTACATCGACCACTTGACATTATAATTCGTAGAGCTCAATAGACCAGAGGCAGTAATGGTTACCATCAGTTTTTGCGCTCAGACGGAGTTACTTTTCCGGTTTCGAAAGTACTTGTACAGAGTTCTTTATTGTAATACTCTTGGCAGGTTCCAGTTCATTTTCATTTAATAAATATTAAACTAAAGCCTTCCAATAATGAACAGGGGTTATTCTTTCCGAAGAATTTTTAATTCCGCGTAAATATTAGTTATGCAGAATGAAAAATTCATAAAACTGGAAAGTTTTATTTGTTTGTTCTAATCCCAAGAGCTACTGATGCGAATTTAAAAATTATTTTTGTGTTGAATAGTCCATTGTGTTGAATAGTCTATTTCTTGAGGAAAAATTTAGACTTTATAACATTACGCATGACTAGTAGTGGAGCAGCAAATAAAAAACAACGCGGGCAAAGCCGCTGGCATAAAGCTAGTGTAACATATGGCGTGAGTCACACAATTTTGGGGTTCGCTTTACGGGAATGTTATTATTAAACCTGCTTTGTAGGCTTCCTTAAGTCTCGAATTTGTTCTTAGTGTATCAAATCAATTATATACATTAAGCATTTATTCCTTTAAAATTCTGCAAATAAAGTTACCTGTTGTACTCATCTAATCACGAGCGTGTCATTCCAAAATTTACGATGTATTGTTAGGTTTTGTCATTAATATCGCATTATTTATAATTCGCAAAGATCAGAGCCGCTCATATAGTGGATGCTTCCTGCCATCTGGCGGATGTGACAATACCTTCTAGGCAGGTGGATCGTAAACCTAAATAATGAACTTGGTGGTTCATTTTAAAATGTTCCTTATGTTGTTTGTTAAGAGTTCAATTAATATTGAGGGACTGTCGTTTAAGGTGCACACTCAAAGTGAATTCCATCTTTGAATGACTTTGCTTGTTGTTACATTGCAAACTTTTTATTGCTTTTATCTATGTTGATAAATTGTTTTTATAGTTTGTTTATGAAATAATTATTACTTATCTTAATAATGCGGTTACCCTTGAATTTATGATCGATTTAATCTGTAGTCTTATTGAGACGGCTTTGTCTTAAATTCCTATATCTTTAGTTTCAATTATTGTCCTAAGTAAAATAATAAATATATGCAGGTCTCATATTTGTCTCAATGCTTAAGGAGTGATGATGATTATCAGCATCATGTAGGTCGACCTCGACGGCTGACGTTCTTGAAGGAATCTAAATTCTATTATAATAGTTTTATTCATCAATATCCTCTGGCCAAAAATTTGCTTTTTATTAATACATTATAAGTATTATGTAAATCCTCGAGGTCGAATACTTAATTATAAACGCGTATATTGTTTAGTTCATGTTTTCATGCATACGTTCTTGTAAATTGATTGTAGGATTTAAATTTAAAAAGTTAAATGTATAGTTATTATATAGGATCGATTTTGCTTTCAGTATCCTCTACTGAAAATATTCTTAATGAAGAAATATTTTTACGAACATTAAAATTTATGATAAAGATGGAAATTTGTTCTAATTATTATATTTGATCAGTTTTTTTTAATTAATTTTCATCTTTATCGAAAATTTTGTAGAAGCTGTAGTAGCGAAAAAGTAACTTGAAAAGTGCTTGAAAAAATCATCAGTAGGTCCTGGGTAGCTCGGTGCTTAGAGCAGTCGCCCGGATTGCAAAAAGTTATGGGTTCGAGTCCCATCTCAGAGTACTAGGGACAAAGTGGATTTTTTAAACTTAACTAGTTTTCAAGTAGTTATTTAAAAGTAGGATAATTAATTAATTATGTTGTCGGTGTACACTTTAAGCTTGCGGTTTGAAGAGAGTCTTTAACATATGAGAAGATAAATACATTCGGTCTCCTATTTGAATACCTGCCTCAATTAATATTGAGGCATTAGAAATCGCTTAGTCGAACTGCCTCATAAGCTTGGATCGAGAAGGATATCTTGGACGTGGATTCTGTTAGCCTGGTAGGCGTACGACCTCATATTGTAAGCATTTGAAACTGGTAGTTTTTGTCGCGCTCAACATAACGGGACTAGAGACTTGCCATTCAAACTGAGTTTCGTTGTCGCTACGCGGCATCGTTTACCGATTAAACTAATTAATATTTACTGTTATTTTCCTATAATTCTGTTGTTTTACAGATAAAACGAAATTGTAATTTTCCATCATTCGACATCTACCAATTCAGTTCAGTTATTTTCCCTTATCGTTTAGTTGGTTTGTTGTTTCGTAATTTTATGTAAGCAATTCTTTCCTCATTTATATTTACTTTGCTTTCACGATACTTGGAAACGGTTCCTATTGTAGTTTTTTTTTTGTATTTTCATACTATGCTTCAAGTATTTAAGTCGCTACGTCATAGTGTAATTACCTGCTTTTAACTCCTTCACGCAATGAATTAAGAGGGTTATTCAATTGGAATAGACAAAATATAGAGATACCATTGATATTGATTGATATTACGCGTAATAATTTTATTTAACTTTGACGGTGATGTTGTCATATTAGCATAGTTTACCAGCTCTGTTGGAGTTCGCCACGTGTTCACCTTGACACTATACGGTTCTTACTTCACGGTTGCGTAAGCGCAGTCCAGAATCTGAATGGACCGGTATGTATGTGCGTACATATTTGACAATGATAACATTTATGAAATAAAACTACTTGTATTTTTCTAAAGACATTTCATTTAAAAAAATGCGTTTGGCACTTTTGTTTATTAAATAAAGAAATGAGTAT